CAACAACAACAACAGCAACAACTGCAACAACTGCAACAACATCCACAACAGCAACAACGGCAACAACAGCAACAACAACAGCAGCAGCAACAACAACAACAACAACCAGATCGTCGTCGTCATCATCATCATCATCATCATCAGCGCCGTTTCATGATCTTCTTAATGTGGTCAGGACTACTGTACTTCGACTGCTGCTGCCTCCACTGTACTGTATTGTGCCGTACGTTGTGGTACCGTGCTGTACCGTTCTGTACGACGAGGAAACCACGACGACTTCTTTCACTACGAGTTAATGCTGCTGCCGTTGCCACTTGCTAGAGGTACCGCTACTGCCGCTGCCGCTGCCGCTGTCGCTGCCGCTGCCGCTGCCGCTGCTGCTGCTGCTGCTGCTGCTGCTGCTGCTGCTGCTATCACACCCGCCAGTGTTACGGCGATGGCGGCTACTATGACTAGAAGAAGAGCACGTGCAAACAAAGCAACTGGCTGCCAGATGTAATGGTTGCATTACAAGATAGTCACAGCAGTACTAGAAGCAAGACTGCAGTGGGTCAGAGCTTCGTAGCAACCATCGCCAGGACAACTGTGACAGGTATCCGAATTGCTGGAACTGGACGAGCCAAACTTGAAGCGGCATCCTTGAACCCGTCGGTTGCGAGTAAACTGAGGTGGGGCCTTAAGAGCTGGTGCGGGAGGGTTGATGGTGTTCAATAAAACCAGCAGACTGCAGTGTGCCCATGTCAGCATAGCCCAGCTGAGGTGAATGAGATGAAGCAGCAGGATCCAACCTTGAAGCACATTCTCGTCGCCGACCTTGGTGGGGGAACTTTCGATGTCTGCATTGTTCGGAGATGGGTGGAGTGGGACGAGATCCACATGCTTCTCGACTTGACCGTCCCGACTGCTGAGAGATATTGAAGTACGACGTACCAGTCTGCAGTTTTTGCCGTTTAGTGCATTGCAGCAATGCAAAGACGCTTCATCAAGGCCCTACCGAGCTAAAGTCTGCTAAGCCTTCTTGCCAAGTGGCCAATTCCGTAAGCTCCAGAATACTCAATCGGAATCATCGGAATCAGGCTGTTCACGAGCGGGGACGAGCGATTGGGCGGAGACGACTTCGACCGTGCCATTGTGGAGTCTTCGCCATCATTTGAAGCAGAAACTGTTAATCTAGAGATCCCCTCATAGCCCTAGAATTGAGGCCTCTGTTTTAGTCGCCGTTTCTGGAGTCTTGCCCTGCGTGCCAGGCCGGACTGCGTAGGCCGACCATGGCAAATGCATGGTTCACGGCTTCACACACTTGGTTAGTAGACCTTGACCGTAGGTCCTGACACAAAACCGTGGTGCCAAAATCTTGACGGCCTGTGAGGATTGGGTACTCAAAGAGCTCAAGCCAGAGCTGACCAAGCGACGGCTGCTTGGCTGTCGTAGTTAACAAAACAGGATTCGACAAGGTGTCTTGACAGCGTAATCTGCTCAGAGGAGAACGAGGTCCCGAGAAGGTTTCTGGCGAGTTCCCCTAAACTTGCTCTGAACCTGGGACAAACAAGAAACTGCCTTCTGATGCCTCGTGACTCGTCAGACCTCGCCAAGGAGATGGCCAGTGCCAGCTGGAGCTCGACAGCAGCTGCTGTTGCAAGCGCGGAAGGCACGGCTGGCTCTTCGTGCTTCGAGATTCCTTGTGGGATTCTTCCCGCACGCGCGGTTTCCTGGAGGATGTGTAAATAGCGTTGACAGGCTCTTTAGGGGCCGAAGGGTATGGGACATTCAAAGGCTTCAAAGGATCTCGACAATTTGTGAGTTCCGCAGGCCAAGGAGAGACTGTCCAGCAGCGACACTGCCGACATCGTGCTTGACGAGCTGAAGGCTCACACTGAATGTTCATGTCGGCTACCTCTTGTTGGAAAACATAAGTGACCAACCTGATGTCCTGTCGTGGCTTGTTCTCTGCCGTTGCAGTGTGGTTGGGAGCACGTTTTGCCCCCGTTCCTTTGACGTCTTCTCGTCACTGAATTGCCTGGCATGTTGAATCATCTGCCCCTAGGTGCCTAGGTCAAGCTCCGAACTACTGCTCAAAGTGGCCCTTGTAGTAACCCTCATAGTACCCCTTCGCAACCCTTGACTACAGAAACCGCTAACCCCGCAAAAACAGACATCCTATCTCTGGTTTGGGGGCTTGGCTTTAGGGTTTGGGGCTTTAGGGTTCCTGGGAGATCCCGGCAGGTGACGGTCACCAGGGACAGCTTCCGAGTTGTTTGCCTCCACGTGCTGCAGCGAATGTTGCGACCCATCAGAGAGGCCGCCTACGGGGCGAGCCTTCGCCTCTTGGGTTGCGACGAGGATAAGGGGTTCATGTAGGGGTTCAGGGGGGAGAGAGGGCCCGTAGGGGATCTAGAACAGCGACTCGAAACCACGGGTAAGGATGCACGTAATTATGATTTGAAGCCCGTCTCAAATTCTCAAGGTAATCGCCAGCGCCCACCCGGATCACCCTGAATGTAACTTCACGAGTCCGGAATGCCGCCAACCGGCTGGCGGCTTCCATCTGCGGCAAGAAATGTTCACATACACAGATGCATGTGCGCTTGGAACAGTGCAGATGATAGTTCCTTGCTGTGGTCATTGATGGAAAGTCTCGTGTGCTGGGTGAGTGCCGAATTTTCCTCAACTGTGTCTTGTCAGTGCATCGAAGAAGTGAGGCCTGTTGCCTGCTGTTTCTTACATGCATTGGAGGTTACAGTAAGCATGTGACTTGTTGCGACGCTTCTTGCCCGGTCGAGGACTGCCATTCGAAAGCCTGGCGATTGAGACCATGGATACTGCCCGCAAGGCGAAGAAGAGGCGCGGACATCAAAGGAGAGTGTGGAGATCTAGTTAATCTAGTTCTATGATGTCAACAATGTCATGGTTTGTTCAGCCTGTGCACCGTCAGGAAGATGAGCGAAAAGGACTGACAGAGTTGAGATCGACTTGCAGCAAGTTCTAACGGTGCGAGCTGTCTTCTGCAGCATTTGTTTTCCATTCAGTTCCGGATGTCGGCCACAGAGGACCTCCAAAAGAAGACACAGTCATTGCGAGCCAAGCACAAGAAGACCGACGTGGAGGAGACGGGATGAAAGACGCAGACGCTGACGGGATTGTGAGGGTGGCGTAGGTGCTACTGCACATGAGCTGAATGAGTTGCTTCTAGTTTCTGATGAGTCGCAGCTCTTGAGGGGCCAGTGCAATCGCAAGCCTTCGGGTTAATTGACTCTGCGCTGAACAGCAAAGCTGATATCCGCTACTTAATCTGTGTGAGGATCGGGAGGAGATCATGGTGGACGAAATCCTTCTGATCGGCGCAGCAACCTGGAGCGCTGCACGGGGGCAAGATCCCTGGGTAGTTGGCCTAGCAGTTCCGATCACTTGAAGGCTCTCTCGTAAAGCTCCGCTCAGCCCCACAAAGGACGGTAATGGAGTCGTGATCCAGGACACCAGACGTCCCACAGAGAACAGTGATGCTGTAGTTTTGCCACGTATTACCCTTTGACGCTACTGGAGGTACTTTACAGCTAGTCTAGTACAGTCTACTGGTCGAGGACACCAGGCTCGTTGGAATGGTGCCAACAGTGGCAAAAGCAACAGCGGCAAAGGGGACAACAACACTAACAACACCAACACTACTAGCAAGGGTCACCTTCAATTAGATCAAATAGATACCATAGCAGCGGGTGCAACGACCGTGGCGTATGAGTGTTATGAGCTTCTTCTTCTTATCGTTATTCTCAGCCTCATTACAATCACTAGCATTATTTCGTTTATTTTTGACAGCGTGGTGTTGTTATTGTTACTGCTGCTGCTGCTGCTGCTGCTGCTGCTGCATCACCGTTGCTACTACACATGGTGACATTGGTAGCAACTCCGACGAGAATGGTTGTAGTCTTGTTCCAAGCTCAAGCTACTGGTACCAAGTAATCCTGACTCCATGGCCCAGACCCGACCCTAAACGCTAAACCGCAAGCCAGACCCCCAAACCGGCTCTGGAACTGCAGGACGCCAGCGGTGCGAGAGATGCTAACACTCTGCACCGGGGTGCAACCAAGCAGCGCCGTCATCGATCCGGAGACGGCCGGGGGCTTGTTTGGGGGGTTTAGGGTTAGGAGTATAAGTATAGGTTTGGATTAGGGCACTCGAGGAATGGAGATCAACTTTTCGAAACATCTATCTTTTTTCTAGCCTCCGACAAAACTTCCCACAAATCCATTCAGTCCTCTAGGGCTTTGCTAGGGCGCTTGCGGTGGGACTTTGACAGGACAATTTGCATCTTTAGGTTCGCTTGAAGCTCACTCCGGGAAAGGTGTACACTCTCGCCGAAACTCGCCCCGTTTCGGAGCGCTGTGGTCGGCCCTGGCAGGCTGTGGCGCTTGGTGCCGTGATTCTCGCATCCATCATGGACAACCAAATGGTTGACATGCAGGTCGGCCAGGGCGAAAGACATGTCGGAGTTGAGTTTGTATCTTAGACGGGGTTTGGGGGTGCATTAAAGTTTCGAAGAACTTGACCATGTTGAATGCTCGCCACCGCTTGACTCAGGGCAGGAGCCAGATGTTAGCTTTCAGGTATTCCCAAAGGGTAGATCGGCCGAAGCCTAAAGGCGGATTCGAGTCGATATCATACGACACAGCTTGACGCGGCACCTATGCGTGGCGACAGCGTTATCGAAGTCCCTCCGTATCAGGTACACTCCAATTGGCGCGCAGCCTGGACCCAGTACTTGCTCGACAGACCAGAACTGGTCGAGAAGCTGCAGGCCTGGCTGCGCACTTCGTGAAGTAAACCCTAAACCCTAAACCCCTAAACCCTAAAGTGTAGAGTCAGAGAAGGTTGACACGAAGGCTTCGAGAGAGAAGGGCCATCGCAGAAGACAGCAGTCTATGCAACCGGACACCTAGAACCGAGACCCGGACTGACCCTTCCATGCGTTTGAATGTTACAATTAGCGGCATGCAGAGTTCCCTTCTAAGATTCCGTAGGGTTCCTGCATCTATTGCTGCTCGAATATGCGTCAAAGCCCGTCAAAACCCTACTCCAACCTGACTAGCAAGACCTCGTAGAGATCCCCTATAGATCCCATAAGGAAACCGATACTAACCACACAAACTGTTCTGAGCCTCTTCTGGCCGAGACTTTGACGACCTTTGAGTCGAATCCTTGTCAAGGCCGAGAAGCAGCAGACGACGGTGTTGGCTGGTGACGCCCCCTAGCGGGCAAAACAATTTCTTGGAGTCCCCTTTTGCCTCCAGGGCTTTGGGTTTTAGTTCCGAGGAGTTAGGGTTTGGGGCCTTTTGGAGTTGAAGGCTTTTAGATCTTGTGGTTTGGGGGGCTTTTAGGGCTTAGGATTTAGTGGGGCTCCGATAGGCTCAGACTCAAGACTTGGTCGCTGCCCCGCGAGTTGGACTGTGCTAGCGACTCCTTCGGTGCTTCGCTGATGGCAACTGCAGGGTTTTCCAGGTACTCGGTGAGTACGCACGTACGCGCGATGGCTACATCCATGAATGCTTGCATGCCGGCATGATGATACATTGTGCAGCGGTCTCCTACAGCCACAGAGAACATGCCTCAAGTCTCACATCCGGCAGCATGTTTATGCTCAAACATGCTGGCACATGGGCATACTAGGTACTTCGCAATTTTGCAGATGCTCTACAACCGCCAACCGTCATACCTACGCAACGTCCTCACTCACTAGCCAGCTGTCTGGTTCAGGGACGGTGCCTGAGGGCCAGAAGCCAAGAGCCAAGTTGCGGCCATGGCGGTCTCAGGCCGAGCAGGTCCGACGGGGCAGAAGGGGAGGAATCAAAAGATGAATGAGATTCACACGTAAATACACAGTGAAAGTCCAAGAGTCTGTGCAGCCTCGGTATCAAAGCAAGTCGTCTAGGTGTAGGTGAAGATGACATTGGCAGCAGAGCCCTCTCAAGATCCGCAAAGCTTAACCTGCCGCCCTCCACAAGGTAGCGTCAGCCAGCACCTGGTAGCAGCCTCAGCCCCGAAGGAGGAAGGCAGGTCTTGGCCTTGGGTTTTGGGTGTTAGGGAGGAGGCCATGCTAGCAGCAGAACCGCAAGAGAAGCCGCATGAGGAAAGGAAGGGTGCATGCACAGCTTTCTGCTTGTCCCTGCTAAGGCCTGCTTGATTCTGCTGGCATTTTCTCCACTTGCTCCGGCACAGGCTGGGCCGAGGAAAATGATAGCTTGCGGCATGTAACATAGGCAAGGAAATCCCGGGTTTGTCTTAGATCGAGCTTTAATGTAGGAGCCTAAGTAATTGCCTCAACTATTTGGGGTACCTTATTATCACTATACAGTATGACATATCGCAAAAAACTATTCTAATTACTAAGGTAAAGGCGCTTATATTATCCCCATGGAAGTACTCCAATGATTGGAAGCCAGGATCTTTCCTCGGTTTGCGAGCACGAGGACTACCCGAATGCCTCTTGTCTGATCTGGGAGCCGGCAAGACGCTGATCTCTTCCAAGGAATGTCATACCAGGGACGAGTGGCACAATATCCAGATCAATAATGTTTGCAGTAAGGTCTTCTATACTATACTATAGACTATATTATGCTAATACTATACTATACTACACTACAATCTACTATACTATACAGAATCTACTGCAAGAATAACAACGATTGCCTGTCTTTCCTTGGAGCTCTGACTCAGGTTGGGGACAGACTGGAGATTCGAGACGGCGAGACGGTCTATAGAGACATCCGGCCCAACAATACCCACTTGCCTGGTCCTTATCGAGCAAAGTGATACCTTTTAGGGTGTAGGGTTTGGGGTTCAGGGTACGGAGAGTGCGTTCGAAGGATGATCTTGCTCTGTGCAGAGGTGGTTCTACAAGAATGAGGATGTGATCACCATGCTCTGAGCTCAGCTATACATACCTGATGCCGGGGCCTGAATAATTACCGCTACTATTTTGGGGGTTCCTTACATTACGTACAGTACAATATACCCCCAAACCCTATTCTAGTTATTAAGGCCCTACATTATAGCTATACTATACCGACGCCATCTACTTTAGATGAGAGCGGCCTCCGAAGCCAAGGAACCAACCGGACCAGTACCGCAAGGTGGGAGCTGGCGCTGGGCAGATCCGGTTTTGATTTAGGGTTTAGGGTTTTGGGCTTAGGGTTTAGGATTTAGGAATTAAATCGGGGCTTAGTGGGTTTAGGGTTGTAGCTTTTAGGAATAAGGTTCGCCAGCGCAGCTTTTTGGTCTGCGCAAGGCGCCCTGACCATCTCTCAGCAAAAGCCTCTCTGTTTCAGCGGGCTGCTGCTTAAGCCCTAAAAGTTTTCCTTCACCAAGCCAAGATTCCAAGATATAGAAGAGACGCAGGGCAGCAAAAGCATGCTCTCTGTCCCGAGCACTTCGGCCACGCTGAGAAGGATCCTATCGCGCCCCAGAGCTGTGCTCGTAAGTGAAAGGACGCTTCCAAGGGCTCAGACCCTGCGCCCCCGAAGTACGTATGTTGAAGCACCCAGCGGTTGCAGGTGATCATCAACCTTGAGCCATGCCGTGGAGTGGTGTATCTTTTCGCCCGGAGCTGTGTTGATGTGCTTGTTCCATTCTCTAACTTGGTCGTTTTGCTGACGTGCCTTGCTTTGCTTTCACCGAGGAAGGCCGTTTAGGCTTGCATGAAGCTGAAACAGCCAGGAACAGGCCACTTAGCGTCATTCTCGCGACCGAGGTCCGCAAGACACGGAGATGTTATCCGAATCCCTACAGCAGCAACCTCGGAATTGTTGTTCTGTTTGTCGTTTTTAGAATGACGAGCTTGGCAACAAGAGGCCAATACCTATAGTGATTCATGATTAAACTATCAACAATTAGTATTGTGGTAACTAGCTGTTATCATGCTGTTATCGCATCCTCGATAGCAAGGATGATGAGGGTAATGCTCGATGTAGCGAGGCTGTTTAAGTCATGGTGGCCATCATCCGTGATGATACTGATATCATAGATGGCCGTGGTGATGACGACAACAATGACGATTGTGGTATTAGCCTGTATTCGATGGTGCTGACGATGCTGCTGATTGCTAACATGAGAAGAAGGTGTTGACAAGGGCGGTGACGACGACCACAGCAAAGCCTTGCAGCACAAGTGGCACGACAAAGACAAAAAGACACCACCGCCGCCCCACCACGACAACCACAACCCAGGTAACAGCGACAATGATGACCGGACAGCATAGCATACCATAGCATGTTAAAGTATAGTCTGGTATAGTATAGTATAGTATAGTATAGTATATTACAATATAGTATCGCATAGCATAGCATTGCATTGCATAGCATAGCATAGTCTAGCAAATGTTCGACTGCTCTTCCGCCTTTCCTGAGCCGAGGCTGCATCGATACACGGCCCGGATTTGAGAGGAGGGATGTCGGAGGACTCAGACTCACTGGGGTCTGGGGTTTAGGGGTGTTGTCCGGGAGAGAAGGTTTAGGGCTGTTGACCCAGCGAGGTCTTCAGGCTGTAGGCTGAGGGCTCTTGGGGCTTGGAGAGTGAGTGTTGGAGCTCGGCATTTTGATGCAGTCGTTGTCGTTTCGCAGTGCCGTACCGGAGAAAACAGTAGTTAGCGAATTGTTGCATTGTCGTCGCACCTGGACGCCATGTCGAAGACGTTGTGTTGTCGTGCTTACACTAGCAGATGTCGACTCTCCCGAGTGTGCGTATGTGTGTGTGTGTACTCGATTGTGCCGGTCCCATCCGGGAGAAGCGAGTTTGAATGAAGCTCCCATTGCCAACCTGCAAGCTCAGACAAGGTGAGTGAGGAGAAACGTCCCGACCACTCACTCTTCAAGAACACACGAACTTTCCCTGGGCAATATCCTCACAGTACTTGCAACGAGCCTTGTACATCTCGTGGCCCTTCCACTACTTGCCTCTGGCATTCTTCGGCTCTGGTGGCTTTCCCTCTCCTTGGTACAAATGACAGAGGTGGAAAACCGATAAGCACCAACAAGCAGCGCTTGCCGTCAAGATTAAAGGTAACGTCTATTTCACACGTTAACACGCGTGAACGAGCGGATAATGCTTCGATTTCGGCTCGGAAGCACGCATAAAGAGAAAGGTATAGGACCTCAGACTCTACCATACTAGACTATACTCTACTATGTACGTTCCTTTGCCAAGGCCGCCTTGTGCAGATGGACACACTTCTTGCCTGGAGCCAAGCTGTCGCCCTGAACAGCAGGCCCTGTGCGGAGACCAAATATGATGCCGACAACTCAACAGTAGTAACCGCTATAATCACGACAGCAACCTTAACAACTACGAGCTGCTAACCCAAAGACAACATACCACAATATGCTATGGTAAGAACGACAATTGCATCTATAATGGTTCATTAGTTCTTAGTGACTATGCCGAAGAGCCATTCAAGCCGTGTTGAAGGCTCTCGAGTCCGCAGGGTACGTGCACCTCCCCTACGCCCCTAGGCCCCTAAACCTCAAGCTCTTCACCCGGAGCCCTAAGCCCATGAACCTAAACCAGCTGAGGTCTGAAATTGATGGAAGCCGGGACGGATCTCCAACCTTTTTTGAAGTGCCGCTGTCTTCCACAAAGCCACCCGGACGCGATTCCAAAAACTTTAGGGTTCTAAGTTTACAGCGGTTTCAGGGTTTAGGTGAGACCTCCGAAATCCTCTGAAGGTGGAAGCCATAAGACCCTTGCACTAGCACTTCGTGGCGGATGCGAAACCAGCTCATCTTCCCTGTTTTTTGCCATTTTGGCTCAGGCTCGGCCCAGAAGTGCAACGGACATCGAATCTAGAGAGGCTTCCGAGGGCGGCTGGCTACCCGTGGATGTTCTGGCGGCTGAGTCGCGGCCAGCCATGGCAGAGCGAGAGCAAGAGGATGGCAGAGAGTGGACTTCGGAGCGTTGGGAGCGTACCTGGTGGGATTCAAAGAGCTGGGGCTGGGAATGGGACCAGCGATGGAGCGAGCGCACCTGGTCCTGGCGCGAAGAGAACGAGGCCGAAGACGCTCAGGTCCCAAAGCTACCTCCACTTCCCAGAAGTTGATCTTCGTGCTTGGAATGCCGAAGACTGGTACTACTTCATTGCTTGAAGCATTTCTGCGGGCCGGCTTGAACTCTGTGCACTGGGCCTTGGAGCAAGGCAAAAACCTGAGCAAAGATACGCAGCTGCGTCTTTGGGGCGACGGTTCCGAAAGCCGACTGGTGGGAA